ACAGACTCAGACACATATCAACACATATCTCTCGGGCAGCTATCTAAACTCTCTTCTCCTTTCACCAGTCAGCCCGACAGATGTTGTGTCCATCATACACTCACTAAAAACCAAATCTGGGAACATCAGTGAAATCCCATCTATTGTATACAAGAGCGCCTCCCATGGCATTAGATGCTATGGAAGACAAACATAACGCGGATGTAATTTACACAGATTTCGCAAAAGCTTTTGATAAATGTGACCATGGTGTTATTGCACATAAAATGCGTTCAAAAGGAATTACCGGAAAAATAGGCAGATGGATCTACAATTTCCTGACCAACAGAACCCAATGTGTAATAGTCAACAAAATAAAATCCAGCCCATCAACCGTGAAGAGCTCAGTCCCCCAGGGTACTGTGCTTGCTCCAGTACTTTTTCTCATCCTCATTTCGGACATAGACAAGAACACAACCTATAGCACTGTATCATCCTTTGCAGATGACACTAGGATCTTCATGAGAGTAGGCAACATAGAGGACACGGCGAACCTCCAGTCAGATGTAGATCAGGTCTTTCTATGGGCTACAGAAAATAATATGGTGTTTAACGAAGATAAGTTCCAGCTCATGCGCTATGGAAAAAATGAAAATATAAAAACGGAAACCACGTACAAAACTCAGGCAAATCATAACATAGAACGAAAAGGCAATGTAAAGGATCTGGGTGTACTCATGTCGGAAGACCTTACCTTTAAAGAACACAATAAAGTAGCCATCACAACTGCAAGAAAAATGACAGGTTGGATAACAAGAACTTTTCACACTAGAGATGCTATACCGATGATGATACTTTTCAAAACGCTTGTGCTCTCTAGAGTAGAGTACTGCTGCACAATGAAAGCACCTTTCAAAGCTGGAGAAATTGCTGACCTGGAGAGCCTGCAGAGATCCTTTACTGCTAGAATCCACTCAGTAAAACATCTAAACTATTGGGACCGACTAAAGAGCCTAAAACTGTACTCCCTTGAGCGCAGGCGGGAGAGGTACATAATAATTTACACGTGGAAAATATTAGAGGGGCTGGTCCCAAACCTGCACACAGAAATAACATCACATGAGACCAGAAGACATGGCAGGATGTGCAGAATACCCCCGTTGAAAAACAGAGGTGCAACTGGTACTCTGAGAGAGAACTCTATCAACATCAGAGGTCCGAGACTGTTCAACACGCTTCCACTACACATAAGGGGCATAACTGGCCGACCCCTCACAGTGTTCAAGAGAGAACTGGATAAACACCTCCAAAGGATACCTGATCAACCAGGCTGTGACTCATACGTCAGGCTGCGAGCAGCCGCGTCCAACAGCCTGGTTGATCAGTCCGGCAACCAGGAGGCCTGGTCGACGACCGGGCCGCGGGGACGCTAAGCCCCGGAAGCACCTCAAGGTCAAGGTATGCCCTTGCGCCACCTATAGCTCTGCTGTTCAACAAATCCCTTGAGTGTCATACCTTCCCTGATATCCTTAAAAAAGCAAGAGTAATGCCAGTTCATAAAGGAGGTAATCCGGCAGACATAAACAATTATAGACCAATATCAAACCTACCCATGCTATCAAAAATATTTGAAAAAATTATCTACAAACAGCTCTACTCCTATCTCATAAAATTCGACATTCTTAGCCCCTGTCAGTTTGGCTTCCGCTCCTAAAAGACTACCAACGATGCAATTATTAGTCTCCTTGATATAATTTACTCAGCCCTTGACAAAAATGAGTTTTTGATTGGACTCTTCATTGACCTGAGAAAGGCCTTTGATACTGTTAATCACAATTACCTCTTACGTAAACTCCATTATTATGGATTCCGAGGCCATACACTGGACTATATCCAGTCCTATCTTAGTGATAGACACCAATGTGTAGCCATCAATAATATAACCTCTCCCACTCTACCAATAACCGTTGGAGTGCCACAGGGCAGCATCTTGGGACCTCTCCTATTTCTTATATACATCAATGATCTGCCTAATGTCTCTAACATTCTGAAACCTATTTTGTTTGCTGATGATACTACCCTCATCTACTCTAACCCCAACTCACATACACTAAATAATGTTGTTAATAATGAACTAAAAAAAGTCCACTTAAGGATGTCAACCAACAAACTAACACTTAACATTGAAAAGATCTACTACATCTTATTTGGAAGCAAATCTACAAATGCAATTCAGCTTCAGATAGACAATGTTCATTAGCAATAAAAATGATGGAAAATTTCTCGGCCTATTCCTAGACAAGAGATTCAACTTCAGTACCCACATACAACACATAACTAAGAAAGTCTAAAACAGTTGGTATATTCTCCAAAATCAGATATTATGTACCTAACTCTGCTCTCATCTCTCTATATTATGCACTAATCTATCCCTATCTTAATTATGGTATCTGTGCATGGGGTTCAACCACTGCAAACCACCTCAAGTCCATCATCACCCAGCAAAAATCTGCTATCAGAATAATAACAAAATCTGCTTTCAGACAACACTCAGCCCCCTTGTTTAACTCCCTAAACATGCTAAACATAATCTCACTCCACAAATTCTCTTGTGTCAACTACATTTACAAAACCCTGTTCTTAAATGCAAATCCTGCTCTGAAACTGTACCTGGACAGATGCAATAGGACCCATTATCACCACACCAGAAATAAATATATCTTTGATATCCCTTGATATCATATATATATATAATATATCCTTGATATCATATCTTTGATATGATAAGGGGCCTCGTAGCCTGGTGGATAGTGCGCAGGACTCGTAATTCTGTGGCGCGGGTTCGATTCCCGCACGAGGCAGAAACAAATGGGCAAAGTTTCTTTCACCCTGAATGCCCCTGTTACCTAGCAGTAAATAGGTACCTGGGTGTTAGTCAGCTGTCACGGGCTGCTTCCTGGGGGTGGAGGCCTGGTCAAGGACCGGGCCGCGGGGACACTAAAACCCCGAAATCAACTCAAGATAACCTCAAGATCCCCAGAGTCAAACTTAATCTGTGTAAACACACTATGCAAATAAAGGGACCCAGTGTATGGAACTCACTCCCTATTGAATTGAAAAGCTGTCCAACTTTTGCGTCATTCAAAAACAATACTAAAAAGTACCTAATTTCATCTTCATAGTTTTTTACCTTTTGCTTTAAAATTGCACTGTATCTATTGCTACCCAATCTCCCAATCTTTATGTACCCAATCCGAACATCTTTATCATTATGATCATTGCTGTCTTCTTTTATGTGCTGTCAATCTGTTGTATGGTGTCTATTAATCTTGTTTAAATTACCAATCAAGCTGTCAATGTAATCAATCAGAGCTTTAATATATCAATGTGCTTTAATATACTTACTAATCTCTCTCATCTCATTTTTTTTTCTTGCAATGTATTTGTTATCATTTTATTAATTCTGCTAGAATTTACCTACTTAAAATTATCTGTTAAGGACCTGCCTGAAACGCTGCGCGTACTAGTGGCTTTACAAGATTGTAAATACTGTACTATGCTATGTATTCTCACAAACCCAATGTACCTTCTCATATATAAATAAATAAATGAGCGAGCCCATTGTCGAACATCGGCATTGATTCCTGGCCATACGACATGCTCGGTTAGTAGTTTCTGGGAAGCACGTACTGCTGGGTGTGCTAGGGAGTGAAATGCCGAGAATGTTTTCCAGCGAAACTCGGCAGGAATGTAGGGCCTAAGTGCTCCCGTCCGTGAGGTGTTACAGATTATGCTATTGCCACCTTCCATGGGAATCTCGATGAACCATTGAGCTGTGTCAGATATTCGTAATCGCTGCAGATCAGGGTCTTCCCATTGGGCCTTGCTGATTACACAATACAAAACCTGAGCTGGGTTTTTCACGACGTGGTTTATGGTGGGTCGAGACACTGCATTGGCTATGACATTGTTAGTTCCTTTAACATGGCGGATATCCGAGGTAAATTGGGAGATAATTCCCAGGTGGTTGGCTACTCGAGGAGAGTGAGCATCACCCTTGGCTGCCAGTGTCTATTCTAGACCACACTTGAAAGTAGACTAGTTATTATTCGCTACTCTGCTGCTTATATGCTCGGGCAACACCTCACCTCGTATATCTCCAAAGGTTGACAGGAATATTAACTGGAAGTAGGGAAAGGTTTGAGTTCCACAATTAGTATTAAGAAGAGCTTTACTTCTCTCATTAGGCCAATGCATTTGGAGCGAGTATATTATTGGGATAATCTACTTGCTACACCCCAGTGGACCCCAACACAACCAAGGAGCACCCCCCAAATAAGGCCCCAAACAGAGGAATCCAAGCTTCCTGAGTGGCCCAAGGCATGGCCTTCAGTCTGGTGCACACATCTCATGGGGTGAATACCTGAACACACACCAGAGAAGGGGAATTCTTGCTGTGCAAGAGCAGCATCAGTGGGCACATAAGAGAACCCTGAATACATGCAACCTGAAATGCTCAATGAGTCAAGCCCACACAACAAGCCAAAACCAAAACTACTAGCAGGTGTGAGGTTACCGGTATCAGGAACAGAACTGACTTGGGAACCGGGCTGCTTGATACTAATCAGTTTCAAGCTCGTTTAAGTGAATCCCTTGTTTCCTGTGACTAGTTTATGGAAGTTGGTGGCTTTCAAGGCTTCATTTTCTGTGAACTTTCCCATTGTCTGTAAAGCTGTGTTGACATTCTGGAGATTTTTCTGGTGAGGTGGCAGATTGTCACCTGCTCTGTACCTCTTACGAGGGGGCCAGGTTCTGGCTCTGATCCCGGTAGTCCTACCAGAATTATCCAAGACTAATGTGACCTTTTAGTATGAAGCATTCTCCAGAAGATAGCTTATGGGAGCCTCAAGGTGTTCCCTCCAGAAAGACATTTCATTATATTCAACATTTGATTTTTTTGTTTAGCACAATTTATGAAAATAGTGTTGCTATACTGTATACAGTAATTTTGTTTTCTACAGAACAGGAATGGGTGATACATCCAGAATCAACTTAGATGTTCCTCGATATGACCAGTCACAATTCATTGGTCGTTTGCAGCACTTCTTCGGTATTACAGACTGGAGGTTATGTTTTAAATCTGACAAAGAACTTGATGAAGTTAAAGATCTGCTTCAGAGATACCGGTAAGGCTTAAGTTAATGATTTGATAACAGGTACTGTATAATTTGTTATGATCTACTTTGTAGTTCTAATGTATTTTAAATAGTCTTTATTGTATTACATATCCCCAATAGGGTGCTTGAAGGTTTTGTCATGTTTATTTTCTGGAAGAGCCCCTTGGCAGCTCTTAATTGTTTACTCTCTGGTGAAGTCAAGCCTTAATAATTGCCTGAGGCCACTGAAACCTATACTGACTTACAGAAGGCAGGATCAGGAAGCTACCTACCAGGAAAGCTAGGCAATCATATGGATCAGATAAAACCTCCAGAAAATAAAACATAAAGAAGTTAAGTAATGAATATAATGAAAGTCACCCTTCTGGTGGGTCATTCATTATCTTCTTGAGCTTCAATGCTAGAATTACCAAGCTTTAGAATTACACCAAGCCTCCGAGACTCGGTGGAGCCTACCAGGACTTAAAACCATAATCTTGCTCTCTGAGAGATGAGAGAAGGCTACGATCAGAGATCAGCCCAAATTTTAGAAACCCCACAAAAAATTAAGTTCTTAAAAACAAGCAACTTCATGAAAGCAGAATTCTCAAGCTGTATTACTTGCCCCCAATCTCTTCATGCTGCATACTTATCCATCTCTTCATGTGTGCCCACCTGTCTCTTCAGGCTACATGCCTATTCCTTTCTCCTAGTAGTTGATTGCCTTAATGCACTCGTATATTCATTATTTGTTCTCAGTGTTTTGTTGATCTCTTGAGTCTCAACCTCACTTCACTATTCCTTTGATTCCTCACTTCATAGTGTCAGATTCTGTTCCTGACTCCCAGTAGTGTCAAGTGGGCCTCAAGCCTAGTGCAATTCCAAAAGGCATCTCCAGTGCTTGAGTATCAGAGCTTCTGAGTGGCACACCAAAAAAGAGTATTTCATTACATGTAATGAGCTTGATTTTTCTTTGGGATTTTAACTCCCCACCTATCCACAGTGGGTTATGGATAATGATATTGAATAAATGATGTTTAAAATTGAGATTACTGTATTGTATAATTTCAGGAATGGACAGGAGCCTCCGGGAACACCTGAAGAAAAAATTTGGTATGCCAAGAGATTATTTAACCCTTTAGTTGCGCAAGACATCATATGATGCTTTGACCGACTTGCAGTAAATTGCGCATCGCATCATATGATGCTTTGGAGTACTACGCAAAATTTAAACGGCCCGCGGATACACGGGGTTTACCACACCTTCATCAGGGCTCTTGTAAACAGACGCCATTTAAAAAAAAAATCGTGGGCCAAATTCCCGGGTGTTAGGGGCCTCAGTATTGAGTGAGCTACCAAGCCTGACGCACACAGCATGAGCTCACAGCACTGCTGTTCAGCTTGTGACCACAGCATCGCCTAAAAATGCCATAATATACATGTTCATGCTATTATGTAGCGATGATATTATTACAGAAGACCCCTGACTGTGATAAAACTGACCAGGGTTCTGATAATAGCAGGATTGTGGTGATATTTAGCGCTGTGCTCCATGGAGGGAGGAGTAATGCTGTGGGAGGGAGGGTGGTGGCATTGTCTTCTGACTGTGTGTGGCCACCTTTTATTGACTGCACTCACCATACCAGCTTAGTGGTTCGCTATGGTGAACACAAATGTAGATACTTATATATAACGTGTGTATAGAGGGTATAAACAGCAATAGGAGTAGGTTGGGAGCCGCCATTTTGGTGAGGGAGGTGGCGTCGTCTGCACGACTTATGTTGTTTACTGGTGACCACTATGGTCTTTGGGCACCATACCAGTTTACTTGTACAAGTATGGTGAATAAAACAGGTAGATACTTATATATAATGTGTGTATATAGCGTAATAACACCACAAACAGTATTGTTGGAGGAGAAATATTAGTGCGTCTGGCCTTGAGGGCGGCCGCCACCAGCTGACTGTGTGAGTAGCTATGTCTTTGTGCCTTTACTCACCATACAAGCTTAGATGTACAGTTATGGTGAACAAAACATGTAAATACTTATATATAACGTCTGTATATAAAAGCAAAAACAGTATGGTGGGAGGAGAATGGTGGCAAGTCAGGTGAGGTGAGGGAGGGAGGGAGTGGCAGCCAGTGGCGGGCTGCCACTGGCACTGCCACTCAGCATGCCAACTTAGTGGTTCGTTATGGTGAACACGAATGTAGATACTTATATATAACGTCTGTATATAGTGAATAAAAGCAAAAACAGTATGGTGGGAGGAGAATGTGGGCGAGTGAGGTGTTGAGGGAGTGAGGCTGGCTGGTGTGTGGCGGTCACTCCTCGTTACTTTTTGACTCATAATAGCAACTTAGTGGTTCGTTATGGTGAACAAAACATGCAGATACTTATATATAACCTGTGTATATAGTGTAATAACCGACAAAGTATTTGTTCACTGTTTGATGAACATAATTGAATCAACAATATGCACACCATATTTTTGAGTACAGCGATGATTCACTCATTTTATTATATAAATATATCACACTACACACTATTGAATAATATTACAGCAAAAAACTACGAAAAATCAATCAGAGACATTGAAATAATTAGGTAATTATCTCTTTGTGGCAACTCCGGCCTGACAGCTGGCGAGCAACAGACCGTCTGGGACGCACGCTGAGTCAGCGCCTGTTTTTTGCCAGACTTCCCCGCCCTATAGCGGGCAATATATGCCACTTACGATTTTTTTATTATTTTTTCCCATGATCAGTGAACACAAATTAACAGATTTAGAAGAAAAAAATAATTTTTTTATTTTTTGGTATGCGCCTGTGAGTGACACATGCTTAATAGCCAGGCACCATACAAGGGTTAACAAAAGTCACAGAAGTCCTTTGCCTACCAGAGACCATGAGCTAGAACCTGGCCCTCTAAGAGAGGCACAGGGAGCAATGGCCTATTAGCACTTTACATTTAAAGTATATCATAATTGCCATCGACCAGGAAAGGACACAAAAAGGTAGGTGAATCAAAACAGACCACTGTCTGCTTATACTATGCAAGCTACATCATCAAAAGAGCAACATATCTCCCCCAGAAAGAAAACAATCAAGCGACATGTCATCCAACTAGCCCCCCTTCATAGTGCTACCCTCACCCCTCTCGGGGAGGGGAAGTTACCCCGTGGGATCTGGCAGGCCATAACCCCAGTTCTTGAACTGATGTGGTGGCAGTTGGATGTCACCTCTGGCCTCAAATTCCTGTTCTGGATTTTTGCCTATGTGTGACTGTTCTGGCTTGTGTTTTGTGTCACACAACCACTTCAAAAGATTTGTGTCGCTCTCGGATTGACGATTCGACCACATTCGGAATTCTCCCGGGTGGTTCATTGCCTGAACCATGGGGGGTTCTATGCGGTCCTTGACTCTTTGGGGCTGGTCACTTCGGGTGACTTGTCTTCTGGGTTCTGGGGGTTTGGCTCTCTTGGTGGTTCATATCCAAAGGGTTTCCAATACCTGGTGATTACCTGTTCTGGGAGTATCCCCAAGCCCGGCCGGAGGCCAGGCTTTGTGAGAGTTTGGTCCACCAGGCTGTCCTGGAGCGGCCCGCAGGCCCACATCCCACCACAGCCCGGTTTCATTCCCTCTGTCCATGGAATATTTCTTGGTCCTGTCCCATTTCATTCCCCTGTCCATGGAATGGAGTGTCGACGACGCTTCGTTCCTTTGGCTCTGCCAGACATTCGGGCGCCCAGAGGTGGATGTCTTTGTGTCGGCGTGATTGAGGCATCTCCCAGTTTGTCAGGCTTCCCCGACTGCAAGGCCGTCCTGGTTGATGCCTTACGACTGGACTGGTCGAGGTGGGGTTACCTATACATCTTCTGCCCAGTTCGATTGTTGCTCCAGGTCCTGGCTCACTTGGAGACTTACCAGGGGAGAATAGTCCTGTTGGCTTCTTGGTGGCCCGCCCAGCCTTGGTTTCATGCGCTGCTTGTTCGTTATCCGAACCCGAGGGTCTTCTCGCAGCTCTGCCTCTTTCAGCAGATCGGTCCGGTTTGGTACGTGGCTGGTTCGATTTTCTATTCTGATTTTCGCATCTAGGCTTTTTGACATAGGTTCATCACCAGTTGTATGGTGATCAGGTGGCTTCATTGATGGTGTCCCACCTGCAGGTCTCGTCTCGGCGGCAGTATGAAGTTTCCTGGCAGTCCTTTCAGCATTTTTTTTACTCTTCGTAGGTTGTCTTTGATTTCTGATCGGGTTGTTTTGTCTTTTCTCTCTGGTTGTTTCAGGACTGTCGTCTTATACCGAATACTGCCGCCTTGTATCGTATAGTGCTGGCGGAGCCACTTCTGCTTGCGTTCTGGGTGGATGTCACTTCTGCTTCATTCTGCAAGTTTTCTAGGGCACTGTTTCACTTCCGGCCTGCTCATGCACTGCCTGAGCCATCCTGGTCGTTGGACCTGGTGTTCTTTTTTTTTTCTCTCTCCTCCTTGGTTTATGGTGGCTCCTCCAGTTCAGGACTATTTTTCTAAGGCTCTTTTGTTTTTGGCATTGCCATCTGGAGGTCGGGTTGGGGAGCTTCATGCTCTCCTCCGGTGCAGGGGTTTCTGCTCTTTTGGTCCTGGTGGTCGTTTAGTTTGTTTGCAGCTGTCTCCTTCCTTTCTGGCGAAGAATGAGGACAACGACTGCTGCTTTCTGGAAGAGTCCTCAGGATGTTGATGCTTGGATGGTTCGGCCGGTGGTGCATCATGTTTTGTGTCCAGTTGCGGCACTTTGCCGTTATTTGTGCACCACGGAATCCGTGGCAGGGGACACGCTTTGGATTGATCCAGTTTTCCTTCTTCCCTGTTCCAGGGTGTGGGTCTCCCAAGTCGACTGCAGGATTATTCGGTTCAGCCAGCCTGCGGTCTATCCCCGTGCCCATGATGTTCATAAGTTCGTGGCTTTGGCTGCTGTTTTTGGTAATATGTCCTGGGCTGACTTCAGGCATGGGGCCTTTGGAGATTAAACAGGGTCCTGGCTGCATGGTACCTTGTTAATGTTCCTAGCCCTTCTCAGGCGTGTGTAGCCTTGGGTCGCAGGTTGCAGTCAGTTGTCTCGACTTCGAGCTGAGGAGCGAGTGGCAGCCACCTCCCAGGTAAGTCCCTCTTTTCCTTTATCTTTGGTTAGGTAGTTCTGGGCAGCTGAACGAGCTCTCCACAGAAAACCAGCATTGAATATAATGAAATGCCATTTTCTGGGCGAGACCGTAGGCTTCCCGGCATCCCTCCCTCCCTCCCTCCAGTCGACGTTTTTTTGCATTTTTGGTATCCAGCCTCTGAACTGGGGTTGGGTTGCTGGCGGGGGAGGTCTGGGGATCCCCTTCCCCCCTTCCTCCCCCCCCAAGGGAGGGGGAAGTTGCACAGACAGTGGCGTGGTGGCTGTGGTGACGTCATGCTTGTTGACTTCATTTCTGATTGGGGGAGTTCTGTTTACTTGTTTGGTTTGTGGATTTTAAACCAGCTGTAGTTGTTTGGGGATTCCTATCTTTTGGGTGCCTGACCTGGTAGATGGCAGATACTAACTGGTTCCAACTACATGGGGGTGTCTATTGGCCATTGCTCCTCGTGTTTCTCTTGAGTGGGCCAAGATCTGGTGCTTTTCCCCGGTAGGCTTAGAACTCCATTGATTGACTGTTGCCACATTCTAATATATACACATCAGCCTGGTATAGCTTTGAGGAGCCTCTGGGTCTCACCCAGAAAATGGTGTTTCATTACATTCAACGCTGGTTTTCTGGGTCGGAGCACTGTCGGCTCCCCGGAGCTATCCAGGCTGAATGAACATGTATAACTTTCTGGCATCAGTCAACGTGCATGGAGTTCTTGCCTACCGAGGACCTGGCCTCCAGAGCCAGAGCCACAGAGCCAGAACCTGGCCTCCCTCAAAGGCACGAGGAGCAATGGCCTATAGAAACCCTAATGTGGTTGGGAGCATTCTATATCTGCTATCGACCGGGTCTGGCACCCAGAAAGGTAGGCGCCCCAAAACAAACCCCTATTCTGGTGAAACTACTGCTATCAAAAGCAGAACGAGTGGACAGAACTCCCCAAACGAAAATTAGTAAACGAGCATGGTGCCATCACATTGCCATGCCAAGAA